AATCATTCTGGCCTCCCTCCCTTCTGCCCCCATCATGGAGATGGAGGTTGACACCCCCGCCCCGCAACCCCCCACCCCTCCCACCTCCACTACCCGCCCCTCGCGCACCACCCGTGCCGCCCCGCGCCGTCACCTGCGCCACCAACCGTCGCACCCACAACCCAACCCCTTCGATCTCAACGCCTGGCGCCAAGATTACCCGCCCGAACCCAGCTTCCCCACACCCTCCCCGGCCCCGCCACACATCGCTATGAACATCGTCCGCCGTCGCCCACGCGCCACCGCGGGCTTTTCGTTTGTCCGCGATCGCGAGACGGGCGGTGAACCCCCCACATCTCCGGACCTGCTCTCTTGGGTTGAGGACAACACCTTACGCCGCCTGGACCGCGGAAAATACGTCCCCCTCGACCGCCCGGATCCTTTGGTGCGCTCCACCATCAGCATCGCTTTTTCCCACGACGGCAGGTATTTTGCTTCTACTCATGGCGATCATTCCGTCAAGGTCTTCCGCTACCCCTCAGGAGAGCAAATCGCATGCCTCGATGGCCACCCGCGCACCCCGTGGACCGTTCGTTTCCATCCAAAAGATTCCTCCATCCTAGCCTCGGGCTGCTTGGGTTGCGAGTGTCGCGTCTGGGACGTTTCTCAAGGCGAATGCATCAGGAAGCACACTTTTGCTTCCAGCATTTCTTGTGTCAGTTTCAATCCAGACGGCAGCTTGCTCGCTATTACGTCAGGTAGCAACTTGCTGCTTTGGAACTATATGGAGGCCGCGCCGAACAACTCTCGCTCCACGAGCTCCGCTATCGACGACATCCGCGGCCCGGGGGTTCCTCGAAAATTGCTTGGCGGTGTGAACCCTTTTCACATGGTCGACTTTCATCCGTCAGGCACCATGCTCATGACGGGAGAGAAGAATAGGTCTCCCCCGCCACCGACGGGCGCCCCGTCTAATCAAGAGGAGCAGTTCACTCTCAAGCTCGTTATCCACCGCTTTGATCGTCGCATTGTGAAGAAATTTGATGATCCTGTGCTAGAGGTTCCTCGTGCGGTGGCGTACAATGATGCAGGCATCCATTTTTCTCCCTGCGGTACCATGCTGGCGGCTTGCATACCCGTGCACGAGCATAGCGATTCCTTTAAGATTGCGGTCATGTCACTTGTCAAGCGCAATCAGATCAAGATCGGCACGGTCATGTACGAGACGGCTCTGGATAGAGGGCATGTCACTGCTTTGACCAATCTCAAGTTCTCATCCACGTCACATCACTTGCTGGCCGGCTTTTCGTTTCGGCCGAAGAATCCAGTCCTTCGTGGGCACGCAGAACACTATGATCAGACAGCTGGACGGGGTGCCGATGGTGGCATGCGCCGTCCTAATCAAGTAGGCGTAGTAGATATATACAATGTGAGTGAGAAGTTTGAAATGATCCGAAGCTTGCGCGCAGACATGGATCTCACAGAAGGTCAAGAAGGGGGGGCTGAGGATGAGATTAACGTGGCAGTATTTGCGCCTGTGTTTGGCATTGCGGACGGAGTTGTGTACGGTACTCAAAAGGGACGTATCCGCATGTTTCAGCAGGCTACTGGTGCTGACATGAAGGCAGAGCCTTGTGGCGAATCGCATGCAGACAGTTGCAGCTCATCGGCATGGACAGGCTCAACAGCAACAACCTGGTCATCTCATAGGGCACCGTACGTTGTTCCGCCGATCAGTCGAAGGCAACGCTTGAGAAACACACTGGTTCGAGAACAAGCTCCTTCTGGCGATTATAGGGACACCACACCAGGAAGTAATCCAGTTCAGCTCCGTTAATACTCGTTCACTGTCGTAGCACGGCATGCCTATGCAGGTTGGTCACATGCGTGTGAATAGCGCTTCCGTTTTTTAATCACGGCCCGTAGTACATAAGATAGTCAGATTGGATACAAATTATTTAGTTGAAGCTTTCCCTGTTTCCGATAAAAGTGGTCCATTGTTTCGCGTCGGGTATGTCGATGGCGAGCATGATACAGATGTCGTTATGTGTTCCTTTTTTAATTCTTCTTTGCTCCACGCGAAGAGCCTGGTTGAGTCGCACGTTCGGAATGAGGCACACATGAAGGCTTACTTATGTCTATCGGACCGTTGTTCTCGTATGAGGACACTTCTCGACTTAGTTTTTCTTGGCCTTCGCTTTCTCGCCACGGAGGAAAAAGATAACCCCGCCACCGCACTCGACTTCTACCTTGCGGCCAGAAAGAACTTTGTGAGAATTGCACGTTCTTCCTGGTCGATTTTAGATATGTCTGGAAAAGAAGCTTTTTAAACCACAATAAAACCGCACGTAAAATAACTTCGAAACCAAAAACCCCAGTTTAAAAAGGGAACTAGGTACTCAATCTGCATTACATTCTTAAACTTTCTGCGTATTCAAAGCAGCAGCTATCGCGATGTTCTGCAAGATGTTATTGGCGAAAACAAGTGCGTTAAGGAAATAGTGTCCAAGATAGCTTTTTGAATATTCAATTAAATTTATATATTTTTGCAAAAAAAAGAGCTGTCCACATATGAGGACATCGCCATCCTCAAACGAGAGCAAGCCCCGATCGGATAGACACTACTGTAGAGACTCCGACCCGTTCCTAAGTCCGGGATGATTCTTCAATGAAACTCAAGAAATCCCAAGAGACTGACGCTCTCTGAACAAAGGCCGAATAAGCTCATACTGGTGTCTATTGGACTGTTGTCCTCATATGAGCCTACTTTTAAATTTATTTTTCTTGACTGTAGCTGTATCGACAAAAAGGAAATATATAATCTCGCCACCGCACTTGATTTCTGCGTTGTGGAAGGAAAGAGTTAAAGGAGAACTGCATGTCCTTTGCGGTCGTTTTTGGGAATGCCTGGAAAAGCACTTTTTTTTGAGCAAGCTTGAAGCATTTTATCTGATATCTTCGGAGGCAGAATGCTCGTGTCAAAATGTAGCTTTGTTTTTGTAACTGCACTAGATTCTTTGTCTTTTGGTGCATTCATAGCTCTGCTATCCCGCTGTTCTGCAATATGTTATTGCTCAGTGCACGCACGTTAAAGAAATAGTATCCAAAATGTCAATATACGTGCTCCTCTGTCTGCACGTTGACACACGTGTCACACTTACGCCGGCGGACTTCTGCAAGCCCCCCGACGCCGCCTGTTCCTCGCTTTGTATTTAGCTCTGTCCAACCGTCCTGTAACCGGACGCGCGGGGGTCAGAGGGACACAATAGTAAAGTGAAAAGGCTACTTTCGGCCTTTCCCTTTCCGCGTCTGCTCATTCCGTCCAAATTCCCTTTCTACTTCTCTTTCCCAGACGCCCACTCCCTTTCCGGCCAGCTGTCCCTCGCGAGGGTTTGACCTCTCGTCTACTGGCCGCGGCCTCGCGATATTCAGTGACAATCCGGATTCAACTGGATAGTTTCGAGGCTTTCCCAACCCCCCAACCAAAATTTTCGAAATGTCTCAAGAAAAAGTGCCTACCTCAGAAAGAATTCCCACCCCTCATGCAGATCTGTTTGAAACAGTTCTTGCCTTCCGCCCTGCTCAAGGTGACACCATGTCTGCAAGCTTTAAGCAAGCCGCTGTTGACATTCCGAAGAACTACAAGATCGGGGAGAAGATTGATGTTGTATCTGCAGTCGAGAACATGAAAGACCAAATTTTTGGTGTGGAAATTTTTTTACGTTATCATTCTTTCGTTCCTCGATGCGGCCTTTAAGATTCTTGAAACGAGTTTCCGACCTCTACGGGCTCTTCAAATTCCCGGAAGGTGTGACATTTGTCCTGTCAAAAGACGTACTCGATAACTCGCAATTGATGCTAAACATTTGGCTTGCAACCCTTTTTGATTATGGTCCAGAAGATATTGGCCCAATCATAGATTGCTTCAAACGTTCACGGCAAAGCTGCATTACGGCTGAACACTCGCTCCCAATTACAAGTTCGAGCCATGAAGGTGACGTGAGACCTACGAATCGTCTTCAAAATACTGACGCAACAGAAGCCGCGATTCTCAGCAGTGCTAGAATCAATACCGCTTCTCATGGTATTGGCGAACAGCTGGGAACATCTTTGGCCCCTACTCAAGCCGACCGTGAAACCGATTTCACAATCCCGAGGTCTCAAATTTTGAAAAGGACTTAGCAAGACGCCTCGCGTAATTGCCCACCCTCCCACATCTCTCGCTCACTTCCTGTAGTGCAGTGGATACACTCGCCAACGAGGGCGTAAATCTCGCTATGAGGAAAAGCGGTATGTCCAGTCACCACCAGGGTGTTCGGGGCCCTCTGTCCGTGGTAGCTCAAAGGTAAGGCGAGAATCGCGGGTAGAGTCCCGGTCAGCGCGTGAAGGGGTACTCGGGATCGAGTAACTAGAAGGAGTGGGTGTGTCGCGGCCGAATTGCGGACCGCTATCGACAACGTCGAAGAAGAACAACACAAGAAAACAGAAGGAAGAAAGAAGAAGAACCATAGCGTAGAAATGTAGAAATTGGTCAAAAAGTAAAGAAAAAACAAGAAAAAGGATGACGACGAAGGGTGCAAGTACCATACTTACCCAACTAGATAGGAACTGTAGAGGATCCTACCAGAGTTGGGGTCCGATCACCTGATGCCTCTTTACTGTAGCGCCTTCCGACACCCGACCTATATAGGCCGAGCGCCGTCGTCGGCGTCGGTTACTAAATGGGTAATTAATAATTAATTATCGTCATTAGAATTGCCACTTGGCGTTAGACGCTAATTAGCGTAGAAACTTGTGGGCACCACGTATGTATACGTGTCGTACACGTGTTGTACATGTATTGTATACGTGTCATACGATTGTCATACACGTGTGGCCACTTGCGGTACACGTGGGGTACCTTCCCAAGTGTGCGCGCACAGTACACGTGTGGGGCGCTTATCAAACACGTGTGGTATCATCCAAAGTGTACGCGTACACTTTGGATGAGCACACGTGTGACACACGTGTCAAAGGCGGGGAGCGCGGCCCCACGACGGCGGTGGCCAGGCGTACAGTACAGGGTCACTGCACTACATCACCCCCCCTTCAAGGGTCGTGCCGATCCGCCTTTGAAACGCGGTCCATTACCCCTGCACCTTTCCCTGCACTCGCAACCCTGCGCGTGCTTCCATTCCTCCGCCTGTCTTGGCGCTCCAACCCAACGACTCTCGCGGCTACGCGCGTATTTGCGCCGAAGGCGGCGTTTCTGACTGATTCCTTCGCAATTTTTTTCGCGTGTTTTTCTTTTCGCAATTTTTTTTCTCCGTGTGCGTTTCTTCTTCTGCGGTCATTTTTTTCTTCCGCGTTCGTCTCACTCTCACAGCATCGCACCGCGGTCCTTCGCGCTATGTCTCACCTGCAGGGCCTCCAAACCGGGTTCATCCGGGCTTCCGCGCGTCATCGCGTATTCCGCCAGGTTGGCGATTTCTTCGGGCAAGGGTCGTTTGAGCAGGCCCAGCTCCTCACGGAGGCGCCGTGGCACGACCCCGTGATCTATCGCGATGACGCGTCAATTACGCAATATTTGCGAGCGGGTTCTCCATCTGAGGGGCCCACAGCGGAGGCTGTCCGGGGGAGCAGGAAGAATGGACGCCAGAAAGGGCGAGGAAGTTCGCTGATGAGAAGCGTGTTATTTCTGACGTCCTCGCCAGGGAAAGGAGTAATGCTTTTCCCCGGACGTTAGTGGACTCCAACCGGAGGACTCTCGAAAAGAGGTCGTCGAAGATGACGAAAAGGATTTTGAACTTGTGGCGTCCGTGGAGACCTCCTTTCCGGCAGGAGGTCCTGTACTCAATAAGAGTAACGCCAGCGTGGCGAGCGATACCGTACGGTCCGGTATACTTATTGACCGGGCTCCTCCAGCTCGTGAGATTATGGACGACGAAATGGCCGTCGTACGCAAATTTTTGCGTGACGCGATGGCGGACCGGGTTCACCTTGCTATTTTTTTGCTCCATGAGGAGTTTGCAACGCCATCTGGCGGTAAGTTCGAAGCGGTATCTTGCGTACAGTAGCGCCATAGGGCGTGTAGTCATTCTTTTTAAGGTAAAGAGGAACCACCTTTGTCTTGAATCTATCCTTGTCTTGCTCGGATGATCGAGTCTGGGACATTCAATCCCTTTCTTTTGCAATATAAAATTACATGGCTCCGTCGGAGGGGACTAATTGGTTCTTCAGTGTCCTCCACCGACGTATAGCCGTACCTCCAGCTACACGCCGGAGGACGGTCGTCCTCCAGCGTGTAGCCGTACCATCTTACTCGGAAGACGAGTTTACCGTCGTCATCATAGCGATGCGCGACGACGTGGTCGACCACGTATTCTTCGCCATTGATGGCGTGTGGAGATTGCGACTGATCCCTGTCCACTTTTCTTGTTGTAGTGTCAGACGCGGCTTCTCGCGGGTCCCTTGAGTGTTGCTCCGTCACTGCAAAGATGTTCTGGGAGGCAGCTTCGGGCTCCAATTGGTAGCGTGCGTCTCCTTCTCCTTCGTTGGAGGCGGGAGTCGGCTCGTCACGTGGACTGTCAGCGGGTGGTGTAGAGTTTTTCTCCTGTCCGACCGGAGTATCATTCGCCAACCGGGCGTAGCGACGAGCCCCATGCCTCGAGTGTTCGGGACGGCTTCTGGTCGTCCCATCAGAGCGCCTCGAAGGGGGCGGCTGTCCAATCCGAGCTCTGTTCCAAATTCCGGTTTGGGATGCGCCATTCATAGGCGATGTATCTGGCAAGTCCTCCAACCCTGTTAGGGGAACCTGAGACTGCTCTATAGGAGAGATGGATACTGTAACGCTCGGGACACCCGGTCTATCGGGACGGTGAACACGATTTTGATCGTGGATATTCGTCGTAGATGACGTTACGGGTTGACTCGGCTGCAGT